GAACGTGTCTTTAATGATCGCCATTTGCTCGGTGTCCGGGCTGTTTGTGCTGGTGATTGTCGTGTACGTTGGCCTGAGATGCCACCCGGGTCCGGAAGTGATGTGCGGGCCTGGGAAAGCCACCGTGGTGTGCTCGAGCGAAGTGGGGAGTTGGTCCTATTCCCAGCGCCAGAGCCGGAACTTGTGTGTAGGGGAAGGCACCGCCAAGAATGACCTAATGGTTTTCAGCCCGAACTTCCCTAACTGTGCAGAGAAAAGTGGGACAGTGAAGGAACAGGAGCTGGCACCAAATTCATCTGGCCAGGTGGGTTTCATGAATCTGTTCTATATTTATTACGTATTCAAGCATTTTGAGATCTTAATGTGGGTTGACAGAATTGTTTTCCATGAAAATGTAATAGAAATAAATTAAACCCGATTGTATTGCTTTAGAAGAGATGTTTATGAGGACAGTTTCTATATTTTACATGCGGTGGTAATTTATTTTTGGGAATGAAATGGTAGTGATATCTATGCTGTATCAGAACAATTGCTCTTCAGTTTGGTATCTTGTGTCTGACGGTTACCAGTTAGGGATGCTTCTGAGGAAGCTTCAGGGATATCCAAAATGGAGAATTATGGGATAACCTGATTATACGTGAAACTCAGTGCTAACCCCTGGCATTTAGCTGTTGGCTTATGTCCAGAAACAATAGGTTTGATATCCCCTCTTCGAAGATTGAAGGGAACTGGAAACAGGAGCAGATAATCTGTGATGGGCAGGTTAGTCATGTAATTGATCCACAAGAAATATATGAGATATAAGAGTTTTTTACAGGATTTTTATATTGGCTACAGTATTAGGATTTCATAATGTGGTGTATGTGAAAACCATAATTTACGTAGAAATCCTGTTTAGCAACATTTCCCAAACGGGCTATTGGAAAGCAGGTGAGCGGTAATTTGTTATGGGAACGGCTTTTTATTAATAGTATGAGTCGATGTAAACTTCTTTGCGGTTGCAAATTTAAGGGTAAAGTTGTTTATTTAAAAAAATCATACTAGTATTTTAAGATAAATGGTGAACGTCTTTTCCATTGGTGGAAATAGATATGATCATATTAGCACGTTACCCGACACATTGTATTTACGTTAGGGTTCTATTCCCTTTCACTATTTTCTATTTCTTCAGACCTATATATTTTAAAGAAATCTACCCTAGATTTTCTCTATGAATACTATGACTTTCAGGCTCTGTGTGGTTGATAAGAAAAACTGGTTGCTCCAGTGTGTTTCTTTTCTCAGTGATCCTATACTTCGCAGTAAGGTATTTTACAAATGTAGGTCTGCATGGCATTCGTGAAAACATCCTCATACTGTATGGGAAGTCCTTTGTGTGAATTTGGTTTTATTCTTAAGAACTCTAAAATTATTTGCAATTGAGCAAAATCTCATCCAGAAATGTTTTCATTGTTGATAATCCCAATGTCCCTCAGGCTTCAGAAAAGAAGCATTAGTTTACACAAAATCCCTTTGGAAAAGTGAGTCCTTACTTGGTATTTTTTTAAATCTGAATTTGAGACATGTCTGTAACATGTCCTCATCTGTTGGGCATTTTAAATATCCCTATTTCAGTAAGAAAAAAAATTAAGATTATGAGATTTTTAAAGTTCTTATTTATCTCATATAGTACCGATAGGAAGTGAAGAGAAACAGTCAAATGAAAAAGATTCCCATTCAATTACATCACATGAAGGCAGATAACTAAAAAGTGACAAATTTTATAAGTGCTCGTATGAAAATGCTAGAAGTCTAAATACTAATATGGGTGAATTTGATACCTTGAACTTGGTATTAAATGAGGATATTAGTATAATAGAAATCACAGAAACTCGGTGGAATGATGACAATCTTTGGAAACAGTAGTACTTGGATACAAAATATATAGTAATGGCAGAGTAGGTTGTGGTCGTGGGGGAGTGGCACTGTATGTGAAGAAAGCACAGAGTCAAATACAGTAAATATCTTAAACAAATCAAACTTTACCATAGAATCTCTATGGCTAGATATCCCATGCTTAAATAAGAAGAATATAGTAGTAGGAATATACTACCAACCACCTGACCAGGATGGTGACAATGATTGTAAAATGCTCAGGGAGATTAGAGAGGCTATAAAAATAGCAAACTCAATAATAAGGGGGGATTTCAACTATCCTCATATTGACTGGGTACATATCACCTGAAGCCAGGATGCAGAGATTAAGTTTCTAGATACCATTAATAAGTGCTTCTTTAAGCTGCTAGTCCTGGAACCCCCAAGGGGAGAGAGAATTCTTGACAGAAGCACAGGAGATGGTCCCACAGGTGCATATAGCTGAACCACTGGGTAATAGCCACTATAATAAAATTAAATTTAACATCCTTGTGTAAGGGAGGAAATACCAAAGAAACCCACCACATTAGCATTTAACTTCAAAAAGGGGAACTAAACAAAAATAAGGAAGCCAGTTAAACTGAAACGAAAAGGAACAGCCACAAGAGTGAAATGCCTACAAACTGCATGAGAACTTTTAAAAAACACCATAGTAGATGCTCAGATTAAATGAATACCCCAAATTAAAAAAACATAGCAGGAGGACCAAAAAATGCCACTATGGCTAAACAACAGAGTAAAAGAGTCCATTTAGAGGCAGAAAGCTATCCTGTACAAATTGGAAGTTAAATCCTACTACAGAAAATGGAAAAGAGCATACACTCTGCAAGTCAAATGTTAAAGTATAATCAGGCAGGCCAAAAAAAGAATTTGAAAAGCAACTAGGAAAAGACAAAAAACCAAAAGCCAAAATTATTTTTAAATACACCAGAAGCAGGAAGCTGCCAAACAACCAGTGGGGCCACTGGGCAATCGAGGTGCTAAAGGAGCACTCAACAAAGAGGAGGCCATTGCAGAGAAGTGAAATTAATTCTTTGCATCGGCTTCACTGCAGACAGTGTGAGGGAGATTTCCACACTGAGCCACTCTCTTTACATGACAAATCTGAGGAACTGCCCCAGACTGAGGTGTCTATAGAGGAGGTTTTGGAACAAATTGATACATTAAACAGTAATAAGTCACCAGGGCTAGATGATACACTATTCACCCAAGAGGCCCAAAGAAACTCAGATATGAAATTGCAGAACTTCTAAGTATGGTATGTAACCTATCATGGAAATGAGCTTCTGTGCCAGATGATTGGAGGATAGCTAAAGTGACACCAATTATTTAGAAAGATTCCAGAGGTGACCCTGGAAATTACAGGCTAGCAAGCCTGGCTTCAGTACCAGGAAAACTGGTTGAAACTGTAATAAAGATCAGTATTATCAGGTAGATTAACATTATATATTGGGGAAGAGTCAACATGGCTTTTGTAAAGGGAAATCATGCCTCACCAATCTACTAAAATTCTTTTAGATGGTTTAGATACAGTGTACTTGGACTTTCAGAAAGCTTTTGACAATGTCCCTCACCAAAGGCTCTTAAGCAAAGTAAGCAGTCATGGGATAAGAGGGAAGGTCCTCCCATGGATCAGTTGCTGGTTAAAAGATGGGAAACAAGAGGTAGGAATAAATGGTCAGTTTCCAGAATGGAGAGAGGTAAATAGTGGTGTTTGCCAGGGATCTGTACTGGGACCAGTTATTTTCAACATATTCATATGTAAGCAGAGTCAGGATGAGCTCTACCCTGACATCTGGTGGTGAATT